TTACCCTGTTGCTGTTTAAACACTGAATTTCCCCACAGGGATTATTAAAGGTCCATTTTATGTTATCCGAAGTCACCTCTGTGCTGTCATGCCTCTGCAGGCCACCAGGGGGCAGCGCAGACAAGAGGACATGGAGCTGCAGGAAGTTAACATGTCTGTCATGCCTCTGCAGGCCACCAGGGGGCAGCGCAGACAGGAGGAAATGGAGCGAGTAGCATGAAGCTGCAGCGTCGGAGACAGCAGTTAATATTGCATGGAGCTGCAGAAAGTTAACCTGGCTGTCATGTCTCTGCAGGCCACCAGGGGGCAGCGCAGACAAGAGGACATGGAGCTGCAGGAAGTTAACCTGGCTGTCATGTCTCTGCAGGCCACCAGGGGGCAGCGCAGACAAGAGGACATGGAGCTGCAGGAAGTTAACCTGGCTGTCATGTCTCTGCAGGCCACCAGGGGGCAGCGCAGACAGGAGGACATGGAGCTGGAGGAAGTTAACCTGGCTGTTCCTGATGATGATTCAGCCCCTGCTCAGAGTACAGATGTCCTGATAGCAGAACTTCAGAGCAGCTTCAAACCAGAGAAATTCAGGATCCTGAATTATTATAATGAGATTACATCAGAAACTCTGCCGTTCATCTTCTAACTCAATCGAAAATTTGACTTTTCATGAAAATGTCAACATTTTTGGATATTTTCTCAAATCTGAAAATTATGACATTTTCTCAGAAATTCGGACTTTTCCTCAAAATCTCAGAATTTTACTTTGGAGTTCTGTTTAATTTGTGATGAATGCTTGTTTTAAAATGATCTGACAATGATGCTTACATTTTTACTATATTTGCTTTTATAATGTAAGACTTTTACCCACATATGACCGAATAACTAATTTGAAGTTTTTGCTTAATGGTTTGTTTTTGCTTGTTTTTAGGAGGATTTGAGTTTTGAAATTAATGAATCCTTATTTCTGTTTAATTTAGGAATTGATCTGATTTCATGAGAATGGGTTTTGATTTTATTTAAGAAAAAAAAAATGCTACATTTTGTTCTTAACACATTTACTACATTTTTTTGATGACATTTTCTTATTTTTTGGCTTATTTCATAATAATTTATCTCATTGTAATAAAGGATATTTTCATTTGGATTGTAATATTACTCAAACATTTTTGATTAATTTGGTTTTCAAAGATTTCATTTTTTTCTTAAATTTGATAACGTTTCTGTTTATTTTATGATAATTTAACAAAATTGTGTTGTTAAAACGTTTGCTGAATTTTGTCACATTTAAGATTTTGCTTATTTTGTATAATTAAGGATTTTGCTTTGTTTTAATTAAGCTTATTTGAAAAGAGTTTTTCTCCGTTTTGAACTAAAGGAATATTAATTTGACATAATGAATTTAAACATTTGTCTGAATTGATAAGAAAGTGTAATTTGAGAGGAAGGGTCTGATATATATGAATAGGTAAATAAGGTTAAATATAATGAGGGAACATGGAGAAAGACGTATAATGATGAGAACATGTGACAGAATAAATTAACCCTGCACACAGACCTGAGCTCAGATGTTAACAGATATCACAGAGAATATATTCTATGTTCAATCAAATAAACGGTGAAAGTCTCTGCATGCTTTCACTTCCTTCTGCTCAGCGTTTTCCTTTTTTTTCTTTCTCACTCATAATAATAATTATAACAAAGTACAAACAAAAAATAATACAAAAAATAAATAAAAATAACAATTCTCAAATAGTCTCTGTCATGTTCAACAGGGGCAAGAAGAAGCTTAAAAAAAACTTTTCTGGTCCTACCCCCTCTAGCATACATTTTCCTTATAAATAAAATATTAGGTCATCGTCATCAGCGACATGTTTGTCTTGTTAATTTGTTTGTTTTTTACAAAACAATCAGAAAGAAATTACTTTTACAATTACAAGAAATAACATAACATCAGAGGACATCAGCTCTTCAGAACAGATCTGAGAACAGGAAGTCTTTTCCACTACCTGGTTTTACTGGGAGATATTACTGTGTGAGTCATGAGGAGGGTGTTATTTTTAATCTGTATCTACAGCGTCTGACTGATCACCACACATTAAAGAGGCCCTGTCTATTAGTGGTGTTATTATTAATCTGTATCTACAGCGTCTGACTGATCACCACACATTAAAGAGGCCCTGTCTATTAGTGGTCTCCCCTCTCCTGTACTTCTATAGGTGTTAGTGCATGTTTATGGTCTGCAAAGGTCAAAATCACCCCATGGCATGAAACGTTTTGATTGGTCAACTTTTTGATTTATTTCAGAAAATCTCAAATCAATTTTTTCCAAAATCTCAATAAATAAATATTTATAAATAATATGTGGGACAAACAGCTCATGCTCTGTCTGAAAACATTATGCTAAGGTTAACTTGTTAGCTGGCTAAATTAGGTTTATACGATGAATAAAACACATAAAATGAAAAGTCAATTTAACTAAAACATGGTGAATTTATTCCTCAACAGTTAATATCCAACCAAGTGAAGCCAGCTTAACTTTTATGAGCTTCTCAAGTAAGTAAAACATTATTTTATCCACAGACATTTGAGACACCTTACCTCAGAAGGTCCTCCTTTGCTGTGCGGTTGCTGTGCGGTTGCTGTGTGGTTGCTATGCGGTTGCTATGTTGTTGCTATGCTGTTGCTATGCCGTTGCTATGCTGTTGCTATGCTGTTGCTATGCGGTTGCTATGGGGTTAACCCATAATCTGACATTTACAACAGCAGGCGGCGTAGTTGTACCATTTAAGCAGGGTTTAACCTTAGACTGTACAGTATAGTATACAGTTTGTGTATATATACATGTACATACACACATACATAATCAAACATACACAAATAAATACAAAAACACACATTAGGAGGCATAAAAAAAAGGCACAACATTCAATATACAAAATAACGTTGTTATCATAAGGAACAATAGGGTTTTTTCTATTGTCCCTGGGCAACAGGACGAAGTTAGTCTGTAGAGTTTTGGCATCAACTTGGTACCACAGTAACGGATCCTGGGACGTCCCTGATCAGACTTTCAGAAAGCCTAATAACAGAAAGAAATCATGGCAAAGTTCATATTCCTTCGTAGATGTGGCCTCAGTTGTTGTTTTGATGCAGTTTTCCTTTTGTTTCTTTCCATTTTTTCGCACAGGATTTGAATGTATATGCTCATCAGCATCTTCTGGAAAACTTTTGGATGTACTCCCATGAAATCAAAATGTCTAAAATCCAGAATACATACTTCAACATACACTCCTTATATAATACTGAAAGCATATTGATTCGGAAGTTAATGAGGTCATAATGCCCTCTCTGATATGTATTTTCTAATTGCTGTAAACTAGTCAAGACCACCTTAACCAAGACCAAGTCAAGAGCAAGACCGGAGTGTAACAAGACCAAGACCAAGACCAAGACCAAGACCAAGACCAAGTCAAGACTTTCAGAGGTCTAGACCAGGGGTGTCCAAACTTTTTTCAGTGAGGGCCACATACAGAAAAATATACGAAGGGCTGGCTCACTAGAGGTGAGGTATACTGCCTTATGCCGGGTTTCATTATTTTGTTGGTAGCTCATTCCTGAAAACAGAAGCTTCAGATTGCTTATAAAAAGAGGACATTTAAAGGGTAGATTTCAAGCTTGTTATGTAAATAGCATTGGGCTTTTTTTTTATCAACTAAGATTTATTTGAAAATGTTTCCAACTTTAATTAACTAAATGTATTTGAAAAGTGGGCTTATTATTAACACATGAACACTGTGTAAAATATTTTACATATATATCGGAAGTAGGATATATGACAAGCACAAGTTTAATTTGTGGGCCATATTTCATTATACTTTTTTAATTAGCTGGAGGCCGTTTCAACATGGGCCGCGGACCATGTTTGGCCCCTGGGTCGTAAATTGGACACCCCTGATCTAGACCAAGACCGGTCTCGAGTACAAGACTACTGTAAACACTGTACTTTTTCACATTTCCTTTAAAAAACTTCATTTTACAAGACTACATTTTAACACATCTTGATAACGGTACAGGTCAGCTTTGTCCAATTCTCTTTTTTCCTACATAAGGCTTAAACGCAGCATGTTGCACGATATGGAATCTGGCGCTGCTAACTGCTAACAGCTAACTGCTAACTGCCAACAGCTAACACTAACGAAAACCAGCCCTCAATTGTCTTTTTTCCCACACGATTTGAATGCACCACAGACTCAAAACGTTCTCCACCAAATCCAAGAATCTGCATTTTGGACTGCAGGTGTCTCTTCAGGGTCAGAGGTCCTCGGAAGGGCAGTCACTGCCCACCTGGATCCGCTCACAGAGCTCCGCATCCTCGGGGCTAATTGGGATCTGAATCACCCAATCAGGTTTCTGCAACAGAGGGCGCATTTAGATTTACTCTCGTAAGACACTACAAGATTCATTTTACGTCAATAATAGACTGCACTACTTTGAGAATTCTAAATCGTGTAATGGAGAGTAAAACTGATGGAAATATAAATAAGTAAAAAATATTGTTTATTTGATTTATATTCCCATATTTAGTTCTTCTTTGATTCATTACCTTTTATTTGTTTTTAAAAAATAGTAGCATTTTCCCCCTTTTTATGGCACACCATTGACTCCATACTGGGTGATTCTCATTTACATATATGTGTATATATATTTGTAATGTGTTTAAAGGTGACTGACCAGTGAGTGTGGCAGAGGCTCTTTACGGAAAAACGTTTTGCAGCGATCCGGATGGCAGTGAGCGACGCACCAGAAGACAGCGAACAGGAAACCGGCCGTGAAGACGACGCTCAGCAGCACCGCCGTGGGTTTCCTCCAGGGGGCGTCTGCGCCTGGAGAGAGATCTCCTGTTATCCCTTACAACTGATTGAGGCTGAGGCAGCTTTTAACGCTGGGTTCTTTTGAATCCAGTTTAAAAGCCTTCCTTTTTATGCACTTTTAGCTGCAACCATTATTTTATCGCTTCCATGAATTGTCTTTTTTGTTTTCGTTTGTGTGTTTTTTTTGTTTTTAATCAAGTATTATGTGTTAAATGTGAATCACTTTACCTCTGTCTCTTAAAATGTGCTTTGCAAATTAACTAACCTTGAACTTATATATCTGGAAAGAATATCGAGCAAGAGGACGTTATTGGAAAGGTAGGACAGCGGTGAGCAAGAGGACATGTTTCACAGTAAAAGCACGGACCTGTGATGGAGATGCACTGCTCGTTGGTGCTGTCGCTCCGATTCTGATCCTGCAGGACGGTCTGAGCCCGGACGCAGTACTGTGCCACCTGCAGGCCGGAGACCGACAGCACGCGCTGCTCCGCTGGCATCCAG